AGAGAGAGAGAGAGAGAGAGAGAGAGAGAGAGAGAGTGTGTGTTATGGATCATGTCTTGATGTCCTCCAAAGCCTCATGCAGTCCTGGAGTGTGGGAGAGGGAGTGGAGTTTTCAGTGATGGCTGAATCTACAGTTTACAATTGATTCATGGTCCAATGTTGGGGTTAAGAATGTGAGTGTTACAGCCCCCTAATGTGGGTAGCTTGCATGCAAATAAGGTTCAGAAACCCTCTTGTCTCCTTTGCTTCTTGTTTTTGCTGTGTTTGTTTGTTTGTTTTTTCTTTCCCACCAAGAACTGTTTCCCCTCAGTCAACTCTTGGAGACAGCCAGTTATGGACCGAAACCTCTACAAACTGTAGACTAAATAAACCTTTCTTTGCTTCACCTGTGGTTGTTGAGTATTTTTGTCTCAGAAATGAGACAGGCAGCTAGGATATATAGTCTGAGCTAAATTATGTTTAATCTAAGAATATAAGGTTGGCTTTAGCATTCAAAAATGGATTGGTATCATTAAAATGTAGAAAAGTTAGTGTTAATTGTTTGGTTTTGGTCTTTTGATTTTACTGTATTTAGGGGAGATTTGTTTCTTTTGTTTTTGGTGTCAAGGACCAAGCCCAGGGCTTCCCCCTTGCTAGGCAAGAGTTCTACCTCTGAGCTCAATCCTCAACCCCCGAGGTTACTTCGAGATGTTAAATGTAGCAAGAAATAGTTTTGACAGATAAAAACCATCAATAAATCTTCAGAGAAAAATCAGTAGATGGGGCTGGGGAGATGGCTCAGTGGAATAAGTGCTTCTCTGGCGAGCGCAAGGGCCTGAGTTCAATCCCCAGTTCCGCCAAAAAAAAAAAAAAAAAAAAAGAAAAAGAAAAATCAATAGAAACAGAAATTACCCAACATATTGTAAAAGCATTTAGAGAGAAAACACTTAAGCATCATTGATAATTAAATTAGCTTTGAGGCCACAAAAGGTACAATATTAATTATTCTCATTTTTGCTTAGTATTGCCTCAGGCCTTATTGCAATAAAGTAGCAAAATGACTAACATGCATAAGACTTTCAGGTAAAATGAAAATGTAACTATAAGCAACTTCATGATTTTGAGGACAGAAAATCCTGAAGATCCGATAGACATTATGAGGAAAAAATATTGAGGAAGTCATAAAAGGTGATTTATGGGATTTGTTTTAATGCTATCGAAGAACAGAGAATAAACAGGAATATTTTATATCATGCTTGCTAGACACAGTATTATTAGGATACAAATTCTGCTCTACTTTTATATAGATTGAAAACAACCACCCTCAAAGTCCAAATGTTTTTTGTTTTTCTTTTCTTATAACTTAGTCTGAATTCATTAATTTGGCTAAAGAATTTACATTGCTATTTTACTTGAACTATTTAATATTGATGCTATCAATATTATGTCACTTCGGTGACCATTTACAAGGAAGTGCAATTCATATATCATTAGAAAATATTCACCTTCAAAGTGTACAATGCAGAGCCAGCCAAATAGCTCAGCAGATTAAAGTGCCTGCAAGCAGGTGCAGGAGCCGGGGACTTGATCCCCGGGCCTGCTGTGCCAGCCCCACCCGGGTGCACTGAGACCACAATTGAGACCTGACATGGTGGTACACGCCTGTAATCCCAGCTCTTGGGAGTCTGTAAACAGGTGGATCACTATGAGTTCGATCTCGTAGTGAGACCCTGAACACCCTGTACACCCTTCCCTAAAATACAAACAAAAAAAATGTACAACTCATAATTTCTAGAGGTGAAAATGTACAACAGCACAAACATCTTAAGTGATAAGATGGGAATAAGCAACTCATTTTAATATAGCTACCTAACAAATAGAGAATTTGTAACTGACATAATAACTTTAAGAAATTATAAAATCTCACCATAATTCTCAC